GAAGAAGGAGACGACGAAAGGGAATATGGAAATGAGCACGCTAGTGATCGACTTGATGTGCAACATGAGCATGAAGAGGTAACAATTCATAATACAATGGCTGAATATCCTGTMGATKCCGTCCATGAAACGGCAARCAATAGACTCACCGGTCAGTCARAAGCTGATAGATTGCAAGCCATGGTCCAATCGGCTGGGACCAATGATGTTAAGGAGGGTGATGTATTCGACTCGAAGAAGGAACTAGTTATGAAAATGCATTTACTTGCATTGCGGAAGAACTTTCAGTTTCGAGTGAAGAAGTCTACGCCGGAACTATACTTGCTGCGATGCATCGATCCTACTTGCACGTGGCGACTTAGAGCCACTAAGATTAGAGATTGCAACCTGTTTAAGATAAAGAAATATATCGCAGTCCACTCTAAGTGCAATGRTGCYRTTATGAAACARGATCATCKTCASGCGAARAGTTGGGTGGTCGGTCATCTAGTACGATCAAAGTTTACTGATGTTTCTCGCACGTACAGGCTGAAGGACATCATGCAAGATATTCGTGAGGAGTACGGTGTAAATATGAGTTACGACAAGRCCTGGYGTTCGAGYGAAGAAGCACTCCGACTTAYCAGAGGGGATCCAGCTTCATCGTACGGGCTRCTACYCGCTTATGGGGAAGCCRTGAAAATCATGAATCCAGGTACTATATTTGAATTGGAGTTGGATGATAGCAAGTACTTCAAATATGTCTTCATGGCCATGGGTCAATCAATTAGAGGTTTTATGTGTTGCATTCGACCAGTTTTGGTTATTGACGGGGCACACCTTAAAGGGAAGTACAGAGGTGTATTACTAACTGCTTCTACTGTTGATGCGAATAACCAAATATACCCAGTTGCTTTTGCAATAGTCGGGAGTGAGAGCGTCGCATCATGGGTATGGTTTATGACTCAATTGAAGAGTGTTGTCGACACCGTTCAGAATTTGGTCTTCATTTCTGATCGACATGCCGCCATTTGTAAAGCGATTGATGAGGTATTTCCTACTGCATTTCATTGCTTTTGTATACATCATCTAAATATTAACTTGCTGGCCAAATTTAAGACGCCCGCGATGGAGGAATTATTTTTTAAGGCTGCTAAGGCATTTCGCGAGTCATATTTCAATGAGAACTGGGTCCAACTGTGCGCACACCCAGGAGTGAGGGAATATCTGGAAGCTATAGGAAAGGAACGATGGGCTCGCTGCTTTCAGACGAAACTAAGATACTCACAAATGACCACCAATATTGCAGAGTCTGTTAATGCCCTTTTCAGGCATGCACGTAAGTTGCCAGTCACCGCATTACTTGATCATATCAGAGGTGTGTTGCAGAGGTG